CTCAGTTCTTTTCGCATTCTGATTTTCTCGCACGTCTTTTTCCACTTCTTTCTTTTTTTATACTTTACGCCGCCGTTGTTCGTCGCCCCCTCCATTCCCCGTGACCACTGACCACCCAGACGGCGACACCATACGTACCTTGGTGCTGTATTTTTGAATTTTTCTCATTTTTATTTTATTATTATTATTATTATTTCTCCCTCCCATTTTTATTTTTATTTTTTTGGTTTTCAAAAAAAAAAAAATTTTTTTTTCTCTTCCTTTTCCTTTGCCCTTGGTCATTTTCTATCAAAGTCTTGTACTTTTTCTTTTTCCCTCTCCCTTCCTCTCTCTCCTCCACTCTCCTAAACTCCGCACCTATACGCGTTGTTCTTTGCAGCCCTTCATCTGTTGTTGTTGAATCACCGTCCCTATCCGAGGATCCTGGTCCCCATCTCGCGCATCTATTGACGCGAAGCAGATTTTGGCTAGTATTCTGCCCACTCTAGCACTGCTGGTTGTGCTAGACCCACTTGCACGCCGCTTCCTTGGTGGATACAGAACCATTGACTCTTCTGACAACGTGCGGATAAAAAGAAGTTCCCACAGAACTTGATTTTCTTGTGGGTGACCGTGGGGAATTCAGGTTAAGCATTCGACTTCAATCCTGACACTCTTCTTCTGCAGTGGAGTCGAACTCGATCCTGTACACATCCATTGTTGCTCCAGCAGTTTCATCCTCGTCGCTGCTTTCGATTGTTGTGAGGGACCGCCTTTCCGTCGCAACCGACCTTGTCCTACCGTACTCTCTCCGCGTTACAGGAGGGAAAGTTCCTCAGTGATTCTTACTGGAAGAACAAGTGAAGAAGAAAGTTTAAGCAAAGGAAAGGTTGTCACTAGTTGAAGCTGGGTGACATTGAAAGAATTTCAGTAATCTGCTGAGCTTCGCTTCCTGTTCGAAAAAACGTCAGGGAAGAGGGATTGTCTTGGTCTGCGATCGATGACCGGGATACCGTGAACCTTTTGTTCAGTTCAGCCCTATCCTATCTCCCCTCTCGCGTCTTCACCGACCCCTCCTCCGCTTCATGATGGATCCCAGATCTCACCCTTCACGGCCTCCATCCACCAGCCTTCCCCAAGGCTCCACGCCTCTTTCTTCGACACCCATATCGAATATGCCAATGCCTCAGTACACCATGCAGCCTCAGTACCCTGTGTCTCAGCCGCACACCCTTCCTCCGCTGCAGCCTCATCACAGTCAATCTCCTGCCCCTCATTCCTACATGGGTCAGCCACCATACCGGCCTGATCTATCGAGGTATCCCGCGTCTACGCATGATGTTTACGCGTCATCGGCTGCACCCATCATGCCTCATACAACCGTGGGTAGCTTGCCACCTTCAACCTTCCTCTCACACCACAATCACCAAGCGCAGGCACAACAGTCGCAGCACTATCCTCCTCCTCACAGTGTGCTACCCCCGGCTTCGAGCGCGCAGACTTACCCGCAACCAATTGCGCCCGCTCCGCCACGGGATCGTCGCCCCGACTTCAATGGTATGCCTTCCGGCGCTTTCAGCTACCCCGACGGCAAGGCTTCGCCTTGGATGAACCCCGATCCGGTGGCAGCTGCAAACGGTGCCGGACCTTACGGTGCAAAGGAGCCTCCACGCACTCAAGTGGTTGGATCCCAAGGCCGACGTGGTATTCTTCCGAGCGTTCCGGGTCGTGTGGCTCCTGTCACAAATGGTGTCAATGGTACCGCCAAAAACACGACGATCCCGGCCAAGGACGCGGATGGAAAGTTCCCTTGCCCTCACTGCAACAAGACATACCTTCACGCTAAACACTTGAAGCGCCATTTGCTACGACGTGAGTATTTGTATTCCGATTATTGTTGTTAGGCATTGACTAATCAAATCTAATTTCACCTTCTAGACACTGGTGATCGCCCGTACATGTGTGTTCTCTGCAAGGACACGTTCTCTCGCAGTGATATTCTGAAGCGCCATTTCCAGAAGTGCTCCATCCGACGCGGTAACCCCACAGGGGCGACCCACTTGTCGCATCCTCAGGCACATTTGAAGCGGTCTCAGGCTCAAGCTGCAGCAAATACTGCAAAAAGTTTACAGGAGGAAGTCAGTAGTACCGTCCCGCCTTCCAATGGCATCGCGGGTGCGACCTTCAGCGAGGGGGCCGTGAACGGGAACGGTCTGGGTGCAGGCCGACCAGGTTTCACGGACCAGCAGCCTCTGGGCTTTACGATGCAGTCTGTCAATGGGTTGGGCCGTGGTCAGCCAGACGACGCCTACGCTCATGGACAAGCTCATCAGAGAGCATCCTGGATGGCTACTCCCAAGCAGAACCCGTACCTTGTGCAGCCTGGCACTGAAGCACCTAACCAGCAGCTGAATGTTGACCGCCCTTCCCTTGAACAGGCGAAACCCCCTGTCGTTGATCCCAAGCGTCCCATGATGCCTGGACCCGACCCGAATCACGGTGGTGGACTTGATTGGACTTCCATGTTCCAGCCCGGAGCCTCCGACGGCTATATCAATCAGGTGTTCCCCCAGTCCATGGCATCCGGCCAGGAGCCGATTCAAGCCCAGGTTGAAACTGAACGAAAGTTCTACCCTACCACTACGACGGCTGGCCCTCAAGAAGGTGGAATGAACGGTTTATACTTGGCTTCGACTACTCTCAGTGGCGATGGTAAGTAAAATGAGAACGCGCGTGGCTATGTCCGAATAAACGTTGAAGAATACATTTCTGATTTTCTTTCACCCAGGCACCGTGCAAGCTGCCAGACAATAGTCAATGGCTGAAAGGGATGGTTGCGACCCGACTAGTAGTGAAGCCTGTGGATATTGTTCCTTCAGGTGTTCCTTTGGGCCTGATCTACCGTCCGGAAACTCATACGAGGTGTATTTTCGCAGCTTCCACAACAAACGGGTCATTTCATTTTCTGCTCCAAAAACGAAAGGGTTCTTCCGGTCAGCATTTTTCTACGGCGAGCGCAGTATTGCGGTAGTTCTGAATCGGGTTTGATTTTCTCCGACTCCATTACGAGTGGCAGATGGGTCGGTGTGTGGTTTATCCGGCGTCCACAAATAGACTTGGGCATGTGTTATTGTGTTTTGTGTTGTTCACTTTCCTCATCGCATTGATGCGACATTCCTCAGGGGAAGGTTGCCGTCGTCTTCAGGTCTCGATTCGCATGACCTCCTTGTACTTTCAAACGCCGAACGCGCGCGGGGAAGGACAGTCGTTGGGGTTCTGATTCCATCACTTTACGGCCGTTCAGATCCGCATTTCATTTCCCTGTCGACCATGTAAGTAGATTCTGTACGCTCTGCTCGGACATATGAGCTTGATTTGGTCCAAGAGACATTTGTGGTGTTTTTATCTTCCTGTTTTTGTTTGTTATTACATTGTGCGTGTGCGTGTGATTTTATGGTTTCATTTTGTTGTTTCCCTTGCCCCCTCCTTTGTTCTGTTTGCCATCTTCTCCTCTGTGCAAAAAAGAGAGTGTCATGTCTCTCGAGGATCATATTTTTCATACGATCGGAGGCTGGTTTGCTTTACGGGACGGCCGAGCGTCGCCGTCTCTGTTCTGAGTGCTGAGATCTCTTGTCAGCCATGTGAGACAGTTCTATACGTGCTATGTGCTAGGGTTTGCATTCCTCTGTGTTCGAGCCATGTTCGTCTTTCCGTCTTCCGATCGGTTTGAATCGACCACGGTGGTCGATTCGACCGAGTCGGATACGAGCAGGCAAACGACGCCTGTGCATGTTGCTTTCTGACAAAGGCAGCATGGGACAGACGAGCAATGGGAACACAAAAAAAAAAGAAGGGAGGGGGTAAAAAGGAAGAATTGAAAAGAAGAAAATAGATTTATAGACAGTCCATGTTCGATTAACCTGCAAAAGACGGGCAAATGGGAAAAATATGCTACTACAAATTTTTGAACTGCCCTAAATTTACTTTGTAGACGCCTTCTCCGGCCTCGTAGCGAAGACAAAACGGACATCATCCTGAGGAGGGAGATGCACATGTGCAACACTGTTGGACTTCCCTTCTGCCCGGCGCGGAGATGCGCTTCTGGTTCCGATATTTCCCTACCTCAAGCTGCAGCTGCCGTTCGTCTAGATTTCCCATCACTCATCCATCGGATGATTCAGATCGCATGCAGGGTATCTACACGCTGTCTAGAATGTGATGATCGATATTTTATGCCGTTTCCCCTCGTGATATATTGAGTACGGAGTACATCTGGTAGAAGAGAAGCCAGTTTAACCCCACGGTTCCCCTCCGTCACTGTGTTAGGTCCCCCGAGTATTCCCTACCCCAGGGTCATGACTTCTATGTAAAGCCGCTGAAGTGAGCCATTCAGTCTGAGCGATCCGTTCTTCAGTTCCTGTCTCTCTTGTCATCGAGTCAATATTCCCAAACTATCTTATTTTGTAACTGTCTTTCCTTCTCAGCGTAGTGTTCATACTAACGGACCCCAAGAGTACCTAAAGCGAGTGAAGACGTCACCGCCGAGTCTCTTTTCCTCCGAGGTGATATCAGCAACGGCTGATTGGCTCGTCCGGCGGCAAGCACCACTGCGGGTCAACTTTGGAGTGACTTGGGGGAATCCTTCGTCTCAAAAACGCACGTCTCGCTCTATCTACTCTGTACAGCAAAGTATCACAGACCTCCGAACGATTCGTTCGTCTAGTCGCCCCGCGCAGGCTGAATACTAAGCAGTCGATCCGGAGGCATTTCTCTCTGTCTGATCTGTTCCTTCTCCTCTTCCTCCCATTACCGCTGCCAAAACTGGGAAGCCGACGAATTACCGCCACTATAAGTCTACTACATCCCATCGCCTCATTCGAGTAATATACGTGATTTAGGTGCTTTCTGGCCCTTTTTCGAACCCGACGAGACAGGTTGGATCCAGGATACGTTTCTCGTTAGGGTCTTTCCCATTCGAGTGCTACTTGACAGACCGCTACCTTCCGAAGCCGAACAAAATCATGTCCAACATGTCCACCAATAGGCCTTTTCTGGCCAACTTTCTGGCGGCGTTTCGAGCCCAATCGACGTACAAGGCCTCGACAGCCGGCAGTCAGTCCGCGGCAGGTCCATCGTCCTCACTCTCTGCCGCTCAGATCTCTCAAGGGGCCCGAGCAATAGCCACCAAAGCCGGTGCCGGCTCGAATGCGACCACTTCAGCAGAGCAAGCATCCTCCTCTACCACTGCTGCCGTGCAAGCAGCATCGAACCACCACTATCATCACCACTCTTCCTCTGCGGCTGCCGCATCTTCACATGCTAGACCTCATTCCCACCCTCGACCGTCGCTGAATCAGACTTCCCCGAGTACAGAATCCCCTGCTTCTTCCATCTCGACCCCTCTAGCTCCGTCTTCCCCGCCTACACCTGCCTCGTCAAATCCCATACCCATCGCGGACGGTCACGACCGCCAACGGCGAGGGAGTGACAGTTCCAGTGGATCTGGAGGCTTCCGGGATGCCCTTGGCCCGGAGAAGTGGTATATTGGCGGTCGAACGGCAGCAGGAGAGGAGCGCTTCTACCGGTTAGGGATGGTGACCAAAGGTGGTGGACGACTGGGAGGTAGTGGACGAGTCGGGAGCATTGATCAGTTGAGCCTTTGATCTGCGTTTGCTCTGATTCATTGGAAAGTTTATCCAACTTGATGATCCTTATGACTGCGAAAATTCTATTATGGATGGGCGTTTGAGTGATTGGCATTGGTTTGGGAGTTGAAGGGCGTTTGCATCTTCCGACGGGAAGGCTTGTGTGGGGGGCTGGGAATAGGATTCGTGAAGAAAAGCACTAGTGCTTCATCTGTCTTCACTTATTATTTCCTTTCTTGTCTACCATTACTCCGCTCATTGTCTTTGACTGTCTCGAGAGTATATCTATCGATGCGTCTGTACATGATGATATAAATTTGTTGTATGTATACGGGACAGTGAACATTGATCATGACAGTTGACCAGTGTACACCTCACATACCTGATAGGTTTGTCTGATAGAGACCTTTCGTTTTGTTCTCTCTCGCGGTTCCGGACGAACATGATGCACATGACTTGAAGGTCGTACGAGGGCGTCCCGATGTCAGAGCATAATCCTACGAATCCTACGGTCATACATAGAGGACAGTACAAGTATAGGAAATGTTCACACTCAAACATTCCCATCAGCCACCTCTCTCCTCTGCCCCCGCCAACAACCTCTCCCTCTCCCTCTCTGTCCCCTCAACCACCTCGCCCGGCGCCCCATTACTCAGCCAAAGCATCGGCACAGCCGTCACCGCAGCCAACAATCCAAGCGTCCACGCCATCGTATTCCACCCAAACCGATACTCAACAAATCCACCCCAAAGCGGACCCAGGAACATCCCCATAAACGAGGACATGGTCTGGATGCCGAACGCCTGCGCCACGGCCCCTCGTTTGCCGAAGATCCCCGGACGCGCGCGCTCCATTTCCTCGAGGACCTGCTGCGTTTCGACGTATAGCGCGGGCACGCAGGCGTTGATGAACAGGCCGATGAGAGTGAGGAGGGAGAGGAGGAGGATGATGTGTGGGGTTGTGTTGGAATCGACGTAGCGGAGGCTGATGAGCGGTGGTGAGAGGAGGAGGAACCCGGTGAAGGTTACGAGGCGGGCGCCGTAGCGGTCTGAGATGGAGCCTGTGATTGCTGATTAGAGTGTGCTGGGGGTTGTTTGGCTGGCTGGCTGGATGGCTTACCAAAGTATGGTTCGAAGAGCGCTGTTATGGCTGAGGGGAGGAAGGCTATCCCTGCGCCAAAGGGGCTCCAGCCGAATCTGTCTTCGACGAAGACGGGGATTGTCTGTCGGGTTGATGAGGGTGAGTAGGATTCTCTTGGAATGGTGCAGATAGGGGACTATGAGGAGCGTACCGAGTCGAAGGCGGAATATAAGATGCCCTGGACGAGTAGGGCGAACGAGGAGATCATCACCCGTGGCTGGCTGGCTATGCGCAACAGAGCAATGTTCCTCCACCCCGTTGCAGTTTCCGAGATCTGTGATGAGCGCTGAGGGTATTCCTCACGTGGGTTCTCCTCAGGCGAATCCGACAACCACGCGCGAGCTACCTTCTTCTCGATTACGGCCACTCTCATCACGAAGTCGACGCCGATGATCGCAAACGCCATGGCAAACACCGCATTGTACCCGGCAGCATTGTAGACTAGTCCGCCAAGCAGGGGACCAAGGAGGAAGCCCAGCGCGATCGACGAACCCAGATACCCGATCGTCTGGCCCAGGTTATCGAACGAGACCGAGTCGGTCATGAGCGCCAGGCCCGCGACGGCCACCATGGCTGTCGCACCGCCCTGGAGCAACCGCACAACTATGAACAGCCACACGGTATGTGCGACCGCCAGCATCCCCATCGAGGCGCCGAGCAGGATGAGCCCGAACAGGTAGGGGAACTGGCGGGTGGGTGCGATGTCGACGAGGTACCCGAAGATGGGGCAGCAGACGAACGCGACGGCTGCCTCACACATCAAGAGTACGCTGACCCAGTATTCGCCTGGACATGGGAGATGTTAGCAGCAGCGTCGTTTGAGGATAATCTGCATTCTGCACGACATACGTTCATCGTATGGAACTCCTGCCCTGTCGACCAGCGCAGTTGGCATCACTGGAACAATCTACCATGTCTATATCAGCAATTGCGAGGACAGTACGTTCCGTAACTGCTCACCATTGCATATAAGAAATAGTCCTGGAAGAGACGGTCAACGACCAGACGAGTAACAATGCTAGCTTAGATGCCCGCTCACTGTAAACGACGATGTCCATACTGTGGCGACGATGAATGCTGTGGACGACCGTATTTGTAGAAGCCAAGGAGGGCGTTTACGCCCTTTGCTTGTTGAGCAGAACATCGTCTGCTTGAATTCTGTTCAAAGAGAAGCAGTTGAACGAGTGTGTTTTGTCGGTTTGTCTTTTGTCAATGTTCAGCTGGCGCCATCGAACTACGTAGCATAGCAGACTTTGACGCGTTCACTTAGAGCTTCCTTTCAGCAGCAACCCTAGCTCATTTTTCGATCCAACCAGTCCAATGATATGGGTATTGGGAAGCCGATGACAACTGCACTCGCCGATGATTCAAGAACTTAATGAAAACATGGGAACAAGAGCAGTGGAGCAATGGATCAGCAGCCAATGAGAATGACGAGTTGCGCTAGATAATTGCTTCAACTTCATTGAGCTACAGCAATGCTGTGTTTTCCAGCGCAAAAGCTAACACGCAGCTTCTCAGATAGTCTGAGACTATCTCTGCTAATGTATAGCCAACAATCATGATACCCGACAATCAACACGCCGGTATGTCCAGGAATTTTCCCTGCATTCCTCATTTCCTCACTGTCATTCCATATGGTCACTCCACAGTCCAGACAGACTCCCGAAAAAGCCGAGCAGGGCTCTCATATTCCAGATTTAAAGAGCAAGAGAGTATGGACAATATACCATCATCGCAGAACTAGGGTTGTCCATGACGAGAACTGATCATCAGCCCAGTTCGTTTGTCCAGTGGCTAACCCATCTTGATCCATGCTGAAAGGTCGCCCTAGGTCAAAGAGCATCCTGATTACCGTCATCGTTCAATGGTTTTCATCTATAATCGCATCATGCGATGGATTGCAGAGAGTCGTCAACCTTAAATACCACCAGATATCAGGACTTCCGAATGCCACAAACGGCGCGATAAGATAAACGGCGGAGAACAGTAAGGACGATGGCCGCAGCCGTCCAAATGCGCGGCTTTCGGAGGTGGCCGACATGGACAGCCAGCAACCATCATGCGATGGTTTTTTCGCGGTTGTCCCTTCGTGACCGGACTTAAAAGCTCTTGGGTCGCCTGCTTGCGTTGTAGTACCAAGCTTTCCTTCCTCCTTCACCCGGATTGTTAGATTGTGAGCTTTGGCTTGATCATTACCCCCAATTTCCTTATCGTTCTCGTGCTTCCCCGCAGGACTATTTACCCCGATCTCCGACTACTCTTCTTTCTAGACAACTACGGCTACTCAGCTCATTCACTGATCAAAATGTCGGCCCCTGTCACTGCTGCTCGCTACGGAAAGGACAATGTCCGTGTCTACAAGGTCCATCGGGACGAGAAGTCCGGTGTGCAGACGGTGGTGGAGATGACCGTCTGTGTGCTGTTGGAGGGAGAGATTGAGACTTCGTGAGTCGGAGTTAAGAGCACAGAGTCACACAGAAAATACTAATCGGAGATCTACGACAGCTACACCAAGGCCGACAACAGCGTCATTGTCGCTACCGACTCGATCAAGAACACCATCTACATCCTCGCCAAGCAGCACCCCGTCACTCCCCCAGAGCTCTTCGGCTCCATTCTGGGCACCCACTTCATTCAGAAATACAAGCACATCCACGCCGCACACGCTCACATCATCACCCACCGCTGGACGCGCATGAACATTGACGGCAAGCCCCACCCCCACTCCTTCGTCCGCGACAGCGAGGAAACCCGCAACGTCCAGGTGGACGTGACCAAGGGCGCCGGCATCGACATCAAGTCCTCGATCTCTGGCCTTACCGTGCTCAAGAGCACCGGCTCGCAGTTCCACGGCTTCCTGCGCGACGAGTACACCACCCTCAAGGAGACCTGGGATCGTATCCTGAGTACCGATGTCGATGCCTCGTGGCAGTGGAAGCGCTTTCGCGACCTTGGCGAGGTCCGCGCGAACATTCCCAAGTTCGATGCCGCCTGGTCTGCGGCCCGGGAGATCACCCTCAAGACTTTTGCCCAGGACAACAGTGCTAGTGTGCAAGCTACTATGTACAAGATGTCCGAGCAAATTCTGGCGGTCGAGCCCTTCATTGAGACTGTCGAGTACTCTCTGCCTAACAAGCACTACTTTGAAGTTGGTGAGTATTGACGATGCTTCCTCTGACTCGATTCGAATAGCTAACTTTGTATGTCTGCAGACCTCAGCTGGCACAAGGGCCTCAAGAACCTCGGCAAGGATGCGGAGGTGTACGCGCCTCAGACAAATCCCAATGGATTGATCAAGTGCACTGTGGGCCGCTCATCCAAATCTAAGCTGTGAGAGCGTCTCAGTCAAAGGATTGCATTTCATGATTTGTCACGGGAGTTAGCCAAGGCATAACTGTACATAGTCTCTGGGAATAGGGTATTTCATCTAGCAACCATCCATCTTTCACTTGCGTATAGTACAGAAGCACCGAACATGTAGACGACTGAATCCCGCTGCAAAGGAGGAAGCTGTTGGGAACGATTGAATAGAAGAAATTCTGAGAATGAAAAAAAAAAAAAAAAAAAAAAAAAAAAAAAACAATAAGTCACAAAACTCCCACCCATGCGCTAGTAAATCGGCCCTAAAATAGCACAGAAAATATAGAGTTACAGAAGCAGATGCCGCCGCATCTGAGCGAGAGAGAATAATTCGCTTTTGTTCGATTTCGTCCCCCTTGACCAAGCACCGTTCACGCAGACTGCTTGGCCTCAGCCTCAGCCTCAGGCTTCTTGAAGGCCTGTTGCACCTCCGGCAAATTGCCAATAACCGACTTGTTACCGAACTTTACGATATTCTCCTTGTAAGGATGAGCCAGACCCTCGAAGGCTGTTCAAGTCAGCAACAGTCTCACTTTGCGTAGTACAATCAAACAGCAAATACCCAAAGACTCACTCTTCAATCGAGCCAACCTCTTATCCCGAAGCCGGTTCTTGGGCAACATCCCCCGAACGGCCCTCCGGAGAACCTCACCACCGCCCCATTTCTCGAACATCTGGTCCATGGTCATGCTTCGTAGGCTACCGGGCCGCGTGGTGTGCGTGTAGTACTTCTTCTGGAAGCGCTTCTTTCCCGTGGTTCGCAGGTCACTGCAGCCTACCGCGACGACATAGTCTCCGCAGTCTGTTGAAGGGTCGTAGATGGGCTTGTGCTTGCCCATGAGGAACAGGGCGATGGAGGAAGCCAGGCGACCGAGCGAGCGCGGATCAGATCCGACGTCGACATAGTGCCATGTGCGAGAGTAGGCGAGACGTGTCTATACATATAGATGTTAGACCACATGGCAGAAAAATGGAGCTGCAAAACAGAGCGGGCTACCGCACCTTTCCGATGGTTTGCGACATCTTGAACTGCTCTCCTTAACGAGGATAGACCGGGGCGAAACTCGAAATCAGAACAATTGATTGAACAATCAAAACTGAATTATAACGAAGTCCCCGGATTCTGATTCCCAAGTTCCAAGTTCCAAACTTCCGGAAAAACCTCCGCTGAGTCTGCTCCCTACGTCCAAACTCCAAACTCCATCGCCGACTCCCGCAGGCTCTAGCCTCACGTGACCGCAGCCCCCCGACAAGCCCTAGAACGGCACTAGCGCAGCGCACTAAGCGAGTTTGTCCGCACGGATTCTGCCCATCTCGAATCGAACGCCACGAGAAATATAGCCCTGCGACGACGACAACTTTCTAACCCCCCTTTGAACCCACCCTCCGGCACACTCCTTCTCGACACCGACAAGGGCCATTCTACACATCATGGCTTCCGTCCCGAGTGTGCAATGCTTCGGCAAGAAGAAGACGGGTAAGTTTTTTTCAAAGGGGACGGGGACGCGGAGTTGAAGAACGTGATCACTAACTGGGAGTTATCTGTATAGCCACCGCTGTCGCCCACTGCAAGGTATGAGGAGAATTTTTTTCCCATTTCCCTATGATGTCGCCGCAATTGGCAAACTGCGTGATTTTATCGGGATGGAATGTCCGGAACGTGAAAGAGAAGGGTTGATTTGGAGGACAAAACGGGATTCGCTTCTACATTCGCATGGAAACAACCAACAGAACAAATGCTGAGAATTGTGTTATCAACAGCAAGGCAAGGGTCTCATCAAGGTCAACGGCCAGCCTCTCGGCCTGGTCCAGCCTGAGATCCTCCGCTTCAAGGTACGACTACAAAACCCAACCGAAGGCGTCGCATAGATGCGAAGGAAAAAGAAGACAGAAAGGAAAAACAGAAATCTGACGACAATGCAAATAGGTCTACGAGCCTCTCCTGATCGTCGGCGCTGACAAGTTCGCCGGTGTCGACATCCGTGTCCGTGTCTCCGGTGGTGGTCACACCTCCCAGATCTACGCCATCCGCCAGGCCATCGCCAAGTCCATCGTCGCCTACTACCAGAAGTACGTCGATGAGCACTCCAAGAACCAGCTGAAGCAGGCTTTTGTTCAGTACGACCGCACACTGCTCGTCGCCGACAACCGTCGTACGGAGCCCAAGAAGTTCGGTGGTCGCGGTGCCCGTGCCAGGTACCAGAAATCCTACCGTTAAACGACCCCGCCAAACAAAAAGCCACGAAAAAAGCGCAGAATGGTGTTGTGTTTCTCTCATGGTGTACTGGGGAGGAGATCATGGTGCAATCCCACTGGGCAATCGAAGAAGGTTCGAATTTGGTTGTGGCAGTGGAATGGGTTACTGGCTCTGTCTCGGATGGATTTAGTATAGGCCAGGAATCTGAAATATTACCCATTTTTTCTTGTTTGTCATCCATCTGTCCTTAACAGAGATGATCATTGCGGATGTTATCCTGCGTTGTCTGTTTGGGTCATCTTTCTATCTGTATGGGTCTGGACCAAAAAGGAAATGCAATTTTCGGATATACTGTGACCAGGACTGACTCAGGAAAGGCGCAGTTGTCTTGATGACTTTCTACCCTTACAAGACGCGGAAATTCAAACACCATTCTGCCTATGATCGTTGATGACCTAATTCTACAATTTGCTAGAAATTATTGCACTTAACTTTGCCTTGCAGTATATGCCGAATCGGGAACCCCCCGTCGCATACATATGTAGAAAGCATCGGATGCTGAAGGACACGACAAAAGTCATATC